CTCTCTCTCTCTCTCTCTCTCTCTCTCTCTCTCTCTCTCTCTCTCTCTCTCTCTCTCTCTCTCTCTCTCTCTCTCTCTCTCTCTCTCTCTCTCTCTCTCTCTCTCTCTCTCTCTCTCTCTCTCTCTCTCTCTCTCTCTCTCTCTCTCTCTCTCTCTCTCTCTCTCTCTCTCTCTCTCTCTCTCTTCTTGAGCTCACGACGTGTCCTTCCTCGCTTCTCCCTCATTATCCAACAACAGCCGGTCTCTCCCACGTACCTTCTCACTCCCCCACAGATAGATAAGGTCCCTCACACACATGACTCCCTCCCTCCTGCTCTCCCCCTCCCTCCCTCTCTCCCTCCTTCCTGTCACACCAAGCCAGGTTTCTCACTGCAGTCTCTCGCACCCACCTCCCTCTCTATCTTACTCCCTCCCTCTTCTTTCCTTCTTCCAACCCTTCCCCTCTCACTCCCCCTCTTCCTGCTTCCTTCCCACTCCCTCTCTCTCCCTCCTTCCCTACACCTCCCTTCTCCTCCCTCCCCCTCCTCCCCTCGGTCGCGTCACGACAGGCAGGGTTTTTCGCTGCGATCTCGAGCGTAGAACATCTCCAGTGGCTTGTTCACCTTCCAGTACTTGGTGTTGACGAGGTCAAGGGTCATGCTGCCATTCAGCACGGTGTAGTGCGCCGGAGTGCTCGCAATGTAGATGGCGTAGCGCGTGCTGGCGTTCGGCCCGTCGCCGGTGGCGCCCCCTGGCGGCTCGCTCTTCTTGTAGTCGAGGGCCAGACGCATGGCGAGGTACTTGGAGAGATGGTCGACTGTGAGAGCGAGAAGAGAGACGGAGGGTTAGACGTGTGCGGGCGAAAGGGGAGGGACGCAGGGCGGAACTGCCATTGACATTATTATGATAATATCTAATGTAATATCTAATCTATAAACACATATATAATAATACAAAATTGTATCTAATTATTATATATGTTGTAGATAATCTAATAATGTATCTCATAATGTATCTAATAAATCTTGTATCTTACTGCATGTTTAACAGGTATATAACTAGAAAACCTCAGCTCTGCTATCAGAAGCTTACGATAACAGACCTGTTATAAACCCATACGTCTAAGCGAGACACCACACGTCACACTCATAGCTGGAATTTGCTAGTACATAAGACTAAGCTAATTGATTTTAGGCACTTCTACTCCTTTGGAATATTCGTTAATATGTATATAATATTTATGTTATTGATAAACGTCGACGGAACCTGACTGGGACGGAAACCGTGCTAAAACTACACTGGTAAATGTGAAGGCTGCACAAACACAAGTCCTTCAGCTAAAAATAGTAACACTAGTTAAGCAAAAACAAGAAACATGGTGGTAATAAACTAGAAGTGAAATTAGGGTAGTAGGAATCAGCCACCCTCTAGAAAACATCTCTGTATAGATGGACGGACTATAACCAGATACATACTTGATGCGTTGGCGGTAGTCTTGATGTATCTTGTCTCCGTATCACTGCCTCCCTCGGATGGGTGTGGTCGAAACACTAGCTCAATCTCAGTCGGGCTACCCGTTGTGGGTTTATCTGAACATGACACGATCACAGATTATTGCAGTTTATCAAGATTAACGGCAGATGGTTAGTATGACGCAACAGAACTTTATCTATGTCTTACCCGTTGTTGGTTACTCTCACTCTCATTACTCTCTTACACTCCTTCTCCTCTCTTATCTGTTTATTTTTACCACCTTTCTGTAATTCTCCACCTTTTCCCCCTTTTTCTCAGGATCACTCTAATTCTCTTACATACACACTCACTCCACAATTCTCTCTCGCCTTCAGTCACTCTCTGAAGAACTCGAAAAACACACGTACTTAAAACGTTTCCAGTTCCCTTCATGTATCTTTCTGTATCACTGCCTCCATCCGATTGGTTCGGTGGGAAAACCAACTCTAATTCGGTAGGACTGCCTGCTGTTTGTTTACCTGGGAACATGGTAACCATGGTAACAGCCATGAGATGTAAAGCTGCTAGTGGATAAACCCATCAGTTGAGCTTAGCGCAGACCTGCGACTTTTTCATGCAACTCGACAGCGATTCTAGAATCGCTGTAAAAATCGCTGTGAAATCGCTACGTCTGCGGGGAACGTGCAACTGCAACTCGTAGCGATTCTGGTCGCTTGCGACGAGTTGCAAGAAATCACTCTTTTGATTTTGAGCGACTCGTCGCTCCCAATCGCTCCCAAATTGCTCTAGAATTGCTTCGAAATCGCATGTGTGCGCACACGCGGCGACACATCGACCGATCGTTTGCGGTTGCAGGTTGCAGCGACGAGCAACCAAAAATCGCAGGTCTGCGCTAGGTCTTACAGGGGCACACAGCAACGTGATATAGTGACAGTGCCTGCCACTGCCAGCAAATTCTAACATATATATATATTCTGCTTCACATATATGCTATGTGTTGGCATAGCTCTCTCACTTTCTTTCTTTATCTCTCCCGCCTCTCTCTCTCTCTCTCACTCTCTCTCTCTCTCTCTCTCTCTCTCTTCCCCTCTATCTCTTTCCTCTTTTTCTCCTCCTCTCTCCCTCCCTCTCCATCTCTGTCAATGTCTCTCCCCCGCTCCCTCCCCCTCCCCTCCCCTCCCCCCTCTCCTTCTCCCCCTCCCCCCTCTCTCTCTCACCTACCTTGACCTCCCGGTGCAGGTGTCTGCGACACTGACCCATCTTCAGAGCCGACGCGGCTGCGTTTCTGCGTGGGGGCGCCACCGTCGGCCACAGTGTCCGGCGTCGGGTCGCCGGCGGTGCTAGCGCCCGAGTTGTGTCCGGACTGCGACGCTCCGTCCACGCCGCCGTCTTCTGACTGCTGCTTACGTATCCGCTGCTGCCTGTTCATCGCCTGCACCCTGTCGCGACCCACAAACAACAACAACAGTCAAACACAAACCCAGGGTTTCTTCTCCCAGGGCTCGAATTTCCCTAGATTGCTAACTCGCAAAATGCGTGTCGACATTGAGAAATTGCGAGTAGAAAATATAAGCACTTGCTATTTTCTGCGAGTGGAAATTTATAGCATACACCGCATACATTATCACTGTCGATCACGGAACGAATATATTTCATGATTAAAATGGTCAAACTGGTCGGTCAAATTGCCTAAACAAGTTTCAATTCGCCGTTATTTACGTACGCTGTTTACACTTTCAAAAGTGTATGTAAATGTAATATTCAAAAAGTACTTTGTTGTACAAAAAAATTGCACGTTAGAATTCATTTTAGCACGTAGATTTTTTAGGCACTCGCGATTTTTCGCAAGTGGCTAAAATTTTCGAAATTCGTCCCCTGTTCTCCATAAGACTAAGAGGCACAGTGGCGCACCGCCGTTGTCAAATTTAACATCGCAGTTGTGAAAATGCTACTGTTAACATTTTTAACATTCAAATTTTTACATTTTTGTTGGGGGACACAAGGGAGTTCCCCCGCTCCCTCTCTTCCCCCGCGTCCGCCTGCAGCATCCGCATGCATGCCTATGGCACCTCTTTGAATCCATCATGCGCATACATATATGCTTGTATCCATGAACCAACGTCGCTACCAACGATCCAATGCCAGGAGCGCACGTCGCCTGGTGCTCATTATCGCGAACGCGTCTACGTATATTATACCTGAACTTATGTTAATATTATTATATATATCAGGGTTTCTTATACATAAGAGGCACAGTGGCGCACCGCCGTTGTCAAAGTTAACATCGCCGTTGTGAAAATGTTCAAATATATATATTAGTAAGAAGCGAGAAGGTAACTTAAATTTGGCACCGTATGCCCAGGGCCGGTTCCAGGGCTGAGGCTAGACAGTATTTTTCCAGATTTAAAAGGACACACCACCCCACAGTATGCGCAAAATTTCAAAGGGCACTTTGAAATCTAGACCGTATTTCCCAATATGGCAAATACGGTCTGAATCCGCCCCTGATGCCCTAGCTGCAACACCCGGTGGCATCAGCAGTGGAGTGACAGGAACAGTGTAGTGGTTCTAAAGGGGTGGACACACTAGGCGGTTTTTCATGCGATTCAGCCGCCCGGCTGAGTCGGCCAGCTGAAATCGCCTAGTGTGTCCAGTGAGTCGCGGTCGATTTTCGAGCTGGCCGGCTGAGTCGCCCGAATCAAACATGGTTGATAATTATTTGAGTCGCGCGGCTACAATCGCCTAGTGTGCCCGGGTCACCTACGCCTACTCCCTAACCCTAACCCAAACCCTAACCCTAATCCTAACCATATCAGATATTTACCAGGGTACGTTCCGGCAGTACCCTGGGGGACATAGACCCTATGAGCTGTAGTAAGTATACCTCATGCCTTGCTCGATGCTGGAGGAAAGGGCGGCCGTATTGTGTGCCTTATTCAACTTGGCCAGCACGCGTTCCTGATGCGCCTCGTACTCATCCCGACTAGGGTAGATCTTCGAGATGAGAGCGTCGAAGTTTGGATCGTGTCGCAGCGAGCGTTTGGAGACTAGTTTCTTGCGGCACGTCGGGCATTCCTTGTTGCCACTGCGAAGTGCAGTGATGATGCATTCCTGACAGAAACGATGGAGACATTCCTTCGTCGTCATCGTGTTTTTTAGCATGTCTAGACATATGGGACACATGAGTTCGCTGTGCAGACTCCGCGGGGAGACGGCGATCTCCGTATTGTCCGTGATAACCTCCTGCGGGGTTCGATGAAGCTCGTACAAACTCAATTCCCATGTTTTGTTTGATTGCGGAATATCTATCGACGCCATGTTTACTTCGTCGAGTGAGTCATCGCCGAAAGGTGGCGCCACATTGCAGCGACACACATCGTGAGCATAATGTAAATACTCTATACTGAACAAGTAGTTTTCTTGACAAACTTGTTGTGTAGGTGTCCTTGTTAGGTATCCTTATTTTCTAGATGCATGCATATATATTTATGTACTGATTTAAGTTGTCTATTACCCCTTTTATACTGGGGGTTATCCCGCTTCAGGTCCGGACCTGAAGCGGGATAACCCTCACCCCAGTAAAAGGTCGAAACATACATGATTGATACAGATCACTGATCTCTATAATATAATAGAGATCAGTGATACTGATACTTAGACCGAGCTAAAGACGTAAAGTTATTCCGCTCTAGGAGGTGGTTCCCATCCCGCTTGAGACCCGAGCTAACGTCAGTATAAAAGGCATCTCGACTTTAGCTCGCTCTAAATTCAGTGACATTTTAACCCCATTTATACTGGGGGTTATCCCCCAGCGGGATAACCCCCAGTATAAAAGGTTAAAAAATACTTAGCCCGAGCTAAAGTTATTCCGCTCTAAGAGGTGGTTCAGGTTCGCTTCAGACCCGAGCTAACGTCAGTATAAAACGACATATCCCGAGCTAAAGTTATCCCGCTTCAGAAGCGTGCTAAAGTCGTGCACAGTATAAAACGACTTATCCCGAGCTAAAGTTATCGCGCATCAGAAGCGGGCTAAAGTCGTGCGCAGTATAAAACGACTTATCCCGAGCTAAAGGTTTACACTTTGCTTCAGAGCGGGCTAAAATGTGCGCTGCCGCAAGTTATAAAAAAGGGGTTTACAATTACCTGTGTGTTTAATGCCCCTTTTGTACTGCGCACGATCCTTCTAGCCCGCTTCTGAAGCGGATAACTTTATATGCTCGGGATAAGTCGTTTTATACTGCTTTGAAGCGTGTGATAACTTATAGTCGTGAGCTCATTTATACTGCGCACGACTTGTGTGAGCCCGCTTCTGAGCGGGATAACTTTCTAGCTCGTGGCATAAGTCCTTTATACCTGCGCACGACTTTAGACGCTCTGAAGCGATAGGTATTTTAACTATACATTGGTAGCTCGGGATAAGTTCGTTTTTTAATAATGCGCTACGGGTTTAGTGCCTGCTTCTGAGTGGGATAAACTTAGATCGGGATATGTTCGTTTCATTACTGACCTGTTTTTAGCTCGTCAGTCTGAAGCGGACCTGAAACCCACCTCGCTAGAGCAGTAATTAACTTTTAGATACTGGGGCGGCTAAGTATGTTTCGACTTTTTATACTGGGGTTATTCCCTCGGCTCAATTGGCAAAGATTGCGATTATATAAATGGGATGATTGGGTTGGGATGGATGCCGGATGACATGGCCAATGGGGGCGGGAGGTTCCGGACCAGAAGCGGGATAAACCCCAGTATAAAAAGGGTATTACTATTAGTAGAGTCAAACCTGTGTACTAACACTAACACTAACACTCAGTAACAGTAACAGTAACAGTAACAGTACTCAGTGTCAGGCAGTAGTACTAGTATAGTAGTACTAGTTAGTAGTCAGGTACATCATCTCTATCATTGAACTGGGTTTACGTCCACTGCCTTGATTGTATTGCACGTTTGAAAAAAAGGTGAATCATGAAATGCATCTTCTTGAAGAAAGCCGTAACGCTTGGTTAAGCCGTGTGTGTGTCATTAACTTTTTTATAGATCTTCTTCTAGCATCATAGCTTCAATGCCCATAGATAGGGGCTGACTAGAGAGTCATGTAACCTCCAGGGTTACTTGCCGAGAATCTGTTGTTGGGGGTAAGGCAACCTGCGGTACAACTATTTTGATATGCCGGACATGTAGCCTCGCTTGACTCCATAACCGTACCACCCTGCACTAAGTCTTCTGTTCCGCCCACTACTTGACTGTCGGCAAAGTTTGAAAATATTACATACAGACCTGTATGATATCTTTATAAAGTTGGTTAGGAGTTATGAAACTGTGAAAACCCACAAGAAACACTTTACTAAACCTATTTAACAGCTGATGCGCGCAATCCTTTTGGCTTTGCAAATATCGCCGATGATCGGGAATGCGTTTTCCTTCTCGCAATTGTTTACGACAATTTTGCGCATTTTCGCGCGACGATTTTGAAAGATGGCTCCCAGTGTGGGTGAACTAGCGAAAATTTGTAATTGGGATTATCTTAATGGTTTGGAAACGTATAGACTCGCTGACACTTGTAGAAAGGTCGGGAGTGAAACGTAAAACAGGGTAAGTTACGAATATTTTGCCAGTGGAAAGGCCGACCCAAAACAAGGAACGGGAGCAGTAAAGCGGCGCGGTTCACTGCCGATCTCAAAGCGGGTATGTATATAGACATCTGGGCTGAAAGTCAGGGTACGGTCTATGTATAGGCGAGTACGTTAGGCCATCAGTTAGATTTGGTTACCAAGGTCCATATCTCGGTATTACCGGAACCTGTATCCAGGGGATACGGTTCCGGCAGTACCTGGGGGACATCGACCTATCAGACATAGTATAAGTACATTAGTGACTTGGTAGCTTTAATGCTAGTTTGGGAATTATAGTTGTGCGCATATATTATGTGCTAAACTAATCACGTTGCTAAACTAGGATTGTGGCCGTGGCTTGGATAATAGGAGTTGTTACTTGTAGCTGCTCAATATAGCATCAGCATGACAGCTGTGTGAACCTTTACCTACCCTTCAAGGTTTAGTCACTCATTGCTGGGATTTTACTGTTACTTATGCATTCTATTATATTAATATTATTATTATTATTTAAATCTTATTGCATGTAATTCAAATACCAAATTACAAGACAGTCTTTGTCATGGAGAAAAAATCTGGATAAATCTTTCAGCACTTATTCTTATCAGCAGTTTAAAATAACAAAATTTCTGTACAAAACGCACTTACAACATGGAAGGGAAAAATAATACAAAAAAAAACTTCAGGCAGTGTGACAATTGATTTGGTTGCTGCCAACCAATCGTGCGGGCATGGTAACAAACGCAAAACATTTTTAAACCTTGTGTAATTCTGTGGACAAGCAGCTTGACTTGTAGGTGGAGCAACTGTTTCATACATGTGTGGATTTGTGTGGCCTGATAACCACTTGTGCAGCAATTGAAGCTTTAATAGCTAATGAGAGTTTCGTGTATTTTGTATGAACTTCGTATGGCAGACTGCTGGGAGACTAACACCCAGCCACTGGGGAATGGAGTCTATAACTCCTTACCGAACCAATAGACAAGCGCATGTACATGGAAACCTCAGGTCACCGTTGGCACAAGACATACAGAGGTGTGGTATATATTACATGCACGCACGCACGCACCCGCAACGCACGCCCCCACACACACCCACACGCGCACGTACGGCACGCACACACATACACCGCCACGCACTGCAGTTTTCGCGCACCGCTCGTGCGCGTGGTTTATAATCGTGCATGAGAGCCATCCTTAAAAAATTCTATGTTTTGCTGTCCCCCCGACCCAATGATTTTTTTAGTGTGTAGGTAGGTAGGGTCTTCTTCTTTTTTTGGTGACAGCCCTCGGCACACTAACGTGTTGTCCGATGCCGGACAAGTGAAAGTCTATGTCGACAAGTATATTCTCTTGCCTAGTATGCTTCGATCGGACAACTGAAAAGTTCTAGTTGTTTAATATTCTAAACATCCTCTGGACCCAGGCGCAGCTTATCGCATCTACATTCTCACTTCAAAACGTTTTCAAAGCGTCCATTGAAAAAAGCAGCCCGCCCAACACCCACTGTTACCATTACAGATTTATTCAGAGCGGCCAAATGCATACCTCCCTGGCGGGGCGGATTCGATTTATGTATGCGGGTGGGGTACGTTGTTTATAAGTCGCGTTGCGGGCATTATTTCATTTACTTGAAATATGTATGGGGGTGAGCCATTCGCGTGGATGATGAAGACGACAGCAAAAACTCTTTTCCTGTGATTGAGGGAAAAAGGCTTGCAATCGGTAAATGATGACACACAATGAGGCGTGCAAGCATTGCAACCATAACACGTGTGATTTCATTTACGATTTTTACATAGTACTTGTTATTTACACGTGTATAAGTATAAATTCATGTATATTATAAGGTCTCACCCTCAGTTATTTTGCATTGAAAAGTTGCGGTACAAACATGGTTACATTAGAACAAGATTTTCTTGGCCTCGGCTATAAAGATCGCACCTCCTGATTTTTTTCTTTTTAATTGAAGTTGTGTACAGAGAAGTATAGAGGACTGGGTTTTAACAAGTAATTACAAGGTGTTTATATCTTATAAATTGGAGTATTGGCTGTGGTGTGTGTGAAGCCGATGGCACTTCCGCAGTCACGGTATCTCTAACCAAACTTGGTGGTGACATCTACATGATTCATGACACGTGCATGCTATTATTTTTAGTTTTATTTTTTCCACACCACGCTTCAAAAACATTAAAAATTAGTGGGGAAATTTTTTGCACCTAAGCGCGGTGAACGTTCACAATCACGAGAAGTGAAAACACAATGGCAATGTGAAAACAATGATATAACAAATGCGCCACTATGATGTTCTATGAGGATGGCGCTCCATCTAACCAATAGAAGAAATGTATGGTGGATGGATGGTATACATTGTTATGTTGAACATTGATGTTTTCTTGCATGATGGGGAGATGATTAAGATAGATTGGTGATGGATAGTAATGTAATCGCAGATGGATATTGGCCCAGCTAAATATAATGCCACCAAAAGCATGGTGATGTGAGACACCTTGATGATTATTATTGCAGTCGACAAGATACCGCCCGCAAGTAAGGAATCTGGCCCCGCTCGTGTGGTCAAAATAGATACTGCTGCCGCAGATGGCGTCTGAAAAGGTTTATCTCGTGGTGTGTGTATGGTATGGGCTGTGTGATTGGTATAGTTGGTAGATGGTGCGTGCGTGCCGTGCGTTGAATGGATGGATGGATGATGGCGTGCGTGCGTTGTGTGCGATTGCTGGGTTGGTAGGTAGTGTATTCTGATGTGATGGATACTTAATGGTGTGATCTGAGTGTGTGCGTGTGTGTTGGTATGGGATGTGATGTGGATGTTATGCGACGCATGGCAAGGACTAGCATGGATAGTCGCGCCGCGATGGATGGATGGATAGATGATAGATGGATGGATGGATGATGGATGGATGATGGATGGATGATGGCCATGTATGGATGGCATGGATGGATGGATGATGGAATGGATGGACGGACGGGACTGCGGGGACGGACGGACGGACGACAGTGACACGGACAGACGTACGATCGGCGATGAGTGGTGCGCATTGCGTGGTGTGTATGTGTTTGTGTATGCGTGTGAATTTGGTGTGTGATGTGTGTGTGTATGCGGAGTGGATAGTATGAAATGGATGGCCATGAATGAATGGAATGGATGGATAGATAGATGAATGGATTAGACTGGATGGATGGATGGACGGATAGATGGATGGACGAATTGATTGATAATTAGCTAAAGTAGACAAACTTTTTTCATTATTTGTGTTTTTCTCTCCTCTTTTTGTTGTGCGTTCTTCACTCCGCCTTCCGCATCTTTCTCCCCCTCTCTTATCTCCTCACTATCTCTCTCCTCTCTCTTCTCTACTCTTCTCTCGCTCGCTCTCTCTCTCGTCTTTATTCTTCTCTCTCCCCATGTTTGTTCTTCTGTTCCATTCTCCTCTTTCTGTCCCTCCACCTTCTCTTCCTCTCTATCTCGACGTTCGTGTCGCTTTCGGATGGGCGTATTACTTTATGCGAGCAGTTTTTGTACCGTGTTGAGCAAACACGCGTTGCAACGTCGATGCCCCGTCATGCCGCGACTTCCCCTTGTATGTCGGCTCGGGCGCCATTCACTGCCCTGGCAGTCTTTCCCTTGAAAGGACTCGCTCGCGCATTTCAGCGAGTTCCTGCCAGCGCTCTCGGGTTTTCGTCTTACGATGCAGCGGATGTGCAAACAAGCATTAATTAATTCTTGGTCACAAACTGTTATTGGTGCTCGCAAGGTGGGCAGGCGGCTTCCGTAGTGTTATCACCATTCATTAGTTTCGCTTGATAGCCAACGCACACAGACTTTTTGTGAAGAGTCCGCGCGCTCCCTTCACGACCGACGGCCCTAAGACCATCCGGATAAATGCAGACTCGGCTAGCGGTGCACGGCTTCTGAGTTAAGTCAAAGAGCGCCGGGCGTTTTGTGTTTCCTGGTCGCTGTACACGTGCGGGTTACCACTCGCACCCGGAATCTCGGTCGCTTCAGCGCGAATTTGTTGGCACCATTGTGATGCAAATGTCCATATATAGACATTGGGCGGTTTTTTCTGTATTGTTTTTCAATGGCGACGAGTCACTGAGGGCCGCCGTGTTTTCTGTAAACATCATATCTCCTGTGGGATTTCTCTTCCTCTCTTCTCCTCTCTTCGCTCTCTTCGCTCTCTCTCTCTCTCTCTCTCTCTCTCTCTCTCTCTCTCTCTCACATCGCGTTCCCTCTCTCCTCTCTCTCTCTCTCATCTCTCTCTCTCTCCTCTCTTCGCTGCTCTCTCTCTTGCTGTCGTTCTCTCTCTCTCTCTCCTCTCTCTTCTCTCTTATCTTCCCAGACATACATACGTACTCGCACTGAGTGCTGACTGATGATGCGTATGCACTGACTACAGTAGTGAACACACAGGCCACTCTCCGTCTCTCCCATCTCACTCTTGCGTGCTCTTACTCTTCTCGCTCGCGCCTCCCTTACTTACTTCCTTTCCTTCCCTTCCTTTTCGCCTGCGTTTAATCCTCTCGCTCTCTATCTCGCTGCTCTCGGCGATAGGTGTTGCCTGTGTGTTTGCTGTCCCTCCCTCTTGTGTGTGCATCGTCGCCTCTCTCTCTCTCTCTTCGTCCCTCTTCTCTGTTGTGCCCTTGCGCACCTCGCCCGTTCTTGTGCTTGCTCGTGTTTGTTTGTCGGTGTGTGGTTCTCTCGTTGGCTCCTTGCTGTCGTTGCTCGTTGTGTGTGTGTATGTTCGCCCACTATATTTCGCTTGCTGGCCTTGCTGCGGCTGGTTCTTGTTGTATGTGGTGTGTGTGTGGTGATGGTCTGTGTGTGTTGTCTGTGTGTACTGTGCCATGTGTGTGTTTCGTGTGTGTGTGTGTGTGGTGTGTTTGTGTGCTTGTGTTGTGTTATGTGTCACGTTCAAAGCACTTCTTTCAGTCACGGCCAGTTCTTACGTCCACTGCTAGCCGCTGTGGAAGTGCCCGCCAGCAAATATTCTAGCTGTATACGCGCAATGACCACAGACTAAACGTTCCATCATGAACATGTGGTCTACAACAGAAGTTCTGACGCACCTACGTGGCATGGACTAGTACTGTAGTGTAATACGGCACGCACGCAATGCAAACGCGCGCGCAGCCACACTGCCTACGGTATCGATGCGAGCCTAATATGCATCGCAGGGAAATACTGGCAAAAATATCAGGAGTGTACAATATATATATATCTACATCTATCTATATATGTTATATATGTATATATATCTATTTATATAATATACACTCCTGATAATATGGTATGCACTGAACCAAAAGAGGACATTAACGGCTCATAGATTGCACAAGTAAATTTTGGACAAGTAAAATCAAAATTCGGACAAGTAAAAATTGCTTCTTGTTGCCCGACAGGACAACCAGATTTGAAAGTAAGCGTCGAGGCCTGTGTGAGGCATAATAGTTATTTTAATTCTGTCCTCATATTTGCCACACATGCTTTGTGTTTCAGTCTTAACTATGAGGAATGTATATGCGCCTTCAGAATACCAGTAGAAGAGTTATATTTATATTTATATAGACAAAATTAAAAAATTAAAAAAATTAAAATAAAAATGGAACCCAAAATGTCAAAATAAACTTTTGCGTCGCGGCTATTTTCGTGGGTCGGTCGGAGGACAGCAAACAGAATTTTTTAAGGATGGCCCGATATAGATATAGAGTCCACTAAGCCAGTGTAGTGTGCGTGTCTGACGGTGAAAAAAAAGATTCGCTATCATTATAACAAGCTCTCCTCACTTCAAATAAACATCGCACCCTGCAGCAGCATTAAATAAAGAGGCCCCTGCAGCAACATTGTACAAACCAGATTCAACTTGCACTGATAGATAGATGGATGGATGGGTGGGTGGGTGGGTGGATGGATGGATGGATGGATGGGTGGGTGGGTGGGTGGAATGGATGGATGGATGGATGGATGGATGGATGGATGGATGGATGGATGGATGGATGGATAGATAGATGGATAGCTAGATAGATAGATAAATAGATAGATATATTTTTGGGGGTATTTTTCTTTCAACCAAATGGTCGGTCACCAACTGAGTGCTTTATTTCCCGGACAACGCCGGGTATCCTGCTAGTATATATACATATATATGTGTCTTCGTATATATATATTATCATGTATATATATATATGTTTCTTCGTATATATATATTATCATGTATATATATATATATATATATATATTGTATATATACTTGTTTCTCCCGCCCCCTCCCCTACCCCTGCTGCAGGCGGATGAGTTTCTTCGCGCGAACGCGATCAACAAGCTGCAGGTGATAGCCGAGCAGGTACGGAGGCTCCAGGAGCAAGCGCGCATCGTACTCCGAGAATCACGCCGCGACATGGACCTCCATCATGCAGCCTGCAACTTCCGGAAGATTCCCGGGACCATCTACCACCTGTACAGGCGGCCGTCGGGACAGACGTACTTCTCCTTGCTCTCCGCTCACGTAAGTACGGGATGGCGGTGTAGTGAGTTATTATTATATAGTAGTACCAAGATATGATACATTGATAGTTTAATGTTGTAATTATATAGTAGTAAGTGAGACAGTGTTTCCCCTTGATTGACACGAGCGAGGCGGGCCGCCTCGCTCAAATTCTCAGCCGCCACACAGAAATTTGTCCAAAACACCGCCTCGCTGACGAAAATCACCATTCTTCCATCAATAAACTACACTTTATTGAACTTGTCCCTTTGACAACTTGAAAAAGAGATTCAAGAGTCTCATACAAATGTGTTCAGAATAATGTAGAATGCACCAATTTGCACAATTTTTTCAAAAATTTTACTTGCGGTGTCCGCTTTGTTAGGACCTCGAAAGGCGCAAACACATACACAAAAATTACCACCTCACAGACCTTTTTGGCCAGGGGAAACACTAAGAGATATTGAAAAGCGATTTCTTTCATATATGTTACGTGGTTCTTTGCTCTTTGGCCGAATGCATTATATCTCGCATCTGTATTAATTTTGCAAACGGAATTAGAGTCGCGTTATTGTTACAATGTATTGTAAAATGTCGTAACATGAAGAGCTAACAATACCTATAGTGTACAACGGGAAAACGTGGTTTATGATTAATGTGGATGAGAGGCGTCGTGAGGCCAGTGTGGGAGGCGAGGTTTACGCGCCAATATCTCAGCCTAGGAGTTACGTAGTGACAAGCGGTTGGTCTTGTTTTAGAGAGCAAAGAATGCTGCTGAATGCAATACCATAAAATTCTTCTAGACTCGCAGACAAAGTAGAATAATATTGCCGTGAAATAGCAATTTCTCGTTGTACACTCTAAGTATTATTAGCTCTTGATAACATGTGATCAGGAGTGTATCAAAAGTTTGATACACTCCTGATGTGATGCACCATACGTTGACCGTGTGACCAGCTGTCGCGCTGAATTACAACCGCTGATTCTGTTGTTTCGCTGCTTTCGCGTAGGAATGGGGAGCGAGTTGTCCACACGAGTATCTGGGATCGTACAAACTACAATATGATATGTCCTGGACTCCGGAAGAGAAAGTGGAAGAGAAGGAAAAGGAGTTGAATATTCTAAACAACATCATGACGGCTCAGTTTGCTATAACCGACTCCTCGGGTCCTAACATAGACAGTCTCGTACAGGATTGTTAGCACATACCAACAGCCACAGGTTTCCTACGCGACAATTCATCTGATTTATGGCTCTTAGCTCATGTAGGCCTACTAACTTACTCAGTAGTCAGTGCAGTAGTACTAGTAGTAGTAGTACTAGTAGTAGTCAATACATCATCTCTATCCTTGAACCGGATACATCACTGCTGATTGTATTTGCAGTTTGAAAAAAAGGTGAAATCAGATATGGCATCTTCTGAAGAAAGTAAAGTTGGTAAGCCTATATTTTATTACTTTTTTATAAGATCTACTTCTAGCATCATAGCTTCAATGCATAGTAGGGCTGATAGGGTCTATGTCCTCCAGGGTACTGCCGGAACGTACCCTGGTAACTATTTGATATGCCGGACTGTACCTCGCTTACTCCAAACCGTACCCTGACTGTCCCTGTTCCGCCCACTACTGATGTCGCAAAATTTGAAATATACATACAGACCTGTATGATATCTTTATAAAGTTGGATTGGAGTATGAAACTGTGAAACCAAGAAGAAATTTCAACCTATAAACACTGATGCGCGCAATCCTTTTGGCTTTGCAAATATCGCGATGATCGGGAATGCGTTTTCCTTTCGCAATGTTTACGACATTTTTGCGCATTTTCGCGCGAGATTTTTGAAAGATGGCTCCCAGTGTTGTGGTGGAACAGGAAAATTTGTATGATTATCTTAATGGGTTGGAAACGTATAGACTCGCTGACACTTGTAGAAAGGGTCGGGAGGTGAAACGTAACAGGGTAAGGGTTACGAATATTTTGCGGGAACGGACCAGAAACAAGGAACGGGAGCATAAAGCGGCGCGTTTCCTGCCGACAAGCGGTATGTATTACGACATCGGCTGAAAGTCAGGGTACGGTTTGTAGTAGGCGAGGTACGGTTAGGCATATTAGATAGTTACCAGGGTCCATTCCGGTATACCGGACCGTACCCAGGGTACGGTCCGGCAGTACCCTGGGGGACATAGACCCTATCAGACATAGTAAGTCACTAAGTGGCTTGGTGCTTAATCCTAGTTTGGGAATTATAGTTTGCATAATTATGTGCTAAACTAATCCACGTTGCTAAACTAGGATTGGGCCGTGGCTTGGATATAGGAGTTAGTACTGTAGTGCTTCAATATTAGCATCAGCATGACAGCTGTGTGAACCTACACCCTTCAAGGTTTAGTCACATTGCTGGGATTTACTGTACTCATGCATTTATTATATTAATATTATTATTATTATTAAATCTTTATTGCATGTAATTCAAATACAAATACAAGACAGTCTTTGTCATGGAGAAAAAATCTGATAAATCTTCAGCACTTATCTTCAGCAGTTAAAATAACAAAATTTCTGTACAAAACAGCACTATACAACATGAAGGAAAAATATATACAAAAAACGTCAGCATGTGTGACATTTGATTTGGTTGCTGCCAACCAATCGTGCGGCATGGTAACAAACGCAAACATTTTAAACTCTTGTGTAATTTCTGTGACAGCAGCTTGCTGTAGGTGGAGCCACTGTTCATACATGTGTGGATTGTGTGGCCTTACACTTGTGCAGCAATGAAGCTAATAATAGCTAATAAAGTCGTATTTTGTATGAACTCGTGATGCAGACTTGGTGGAGACTAACACACAGCCACTGGGAATGCAGCTTATAAACTCCTACCGAACCAATAGACAAGCCGATGTCATGGACCTAGTCACGTTGGCACAAGACATACAGAAGGTGTGGTATATATATACATGCACGCACGCACGCACCCGCACGCACGCACCCACACACACCCACACGCGCACGTACGCACGCACACACATACACCCGCACGCACTGCGGTCGCGCACCCGCGTGCGCTTTTATATGTGCATGAGGCCATCCTTAAAAAATTCTATGTTTTGCTGTCCCCGACCCATGATTTTTTTAGTGTGTAGGTAGGTAGGTCTTCTTCTTTTTTTGTGACAGCCCTCGACACTAACGGTTGTCCGATTGCCCGGGACAAGTGAAAGTCTATGTCGGACAAGTTATTCTCTTGCCTAGTTGCCCGATCGGACAACTGAAAAGTTCTAGTTGTTTAATATTCCTAACATCCTCTGACCCAGGGCGCTATCGCACTACATTCTCACTTCAAACGTTTTCAAAGGTCCATGAAAAAAGCAGCCCGCAACACCAACTGTTACCATTAC